TTTTTGCTTTAGCCCTTTCCCCATCGATGCTTCAATAGAATTAGACCTCTTATTTTCTTTTCTTTTTTACCTCATCATATAGGGTGCCCCTGCTGGAACCATTGTCGGTAGATCAGCTACTGGACAACCAGTGACAGCATTAGCGCCAGGAGGTGCTTCCGCTAAACCTTCACCACAACCGCTTCTTGTTCAAGGAGTTTATCCTCAGGGGGCCCCAATTGTCGTTGGAGGAGAGACACCGAAAGTGAGGCTTTGTCATTTTGTTTTTGAATCTTGTTTCATTTGGCTTTCCTCTCTGTCGCATTGGCCATATATGGCTCCAACCTATTTGTAACCCAGCTTGGCCTATGTTCCTATCCTCAATGTCTGATTTTTAGGGTAGAATTCGAAAGGTATAATCATGAGCTTGGACAATTCAAAACAAATGTCTCGATGTTTGCATCGTTACAGTTGCTCCTTCCAGGTCCTTGTTCCTGCCAAAGTCCAAGTACGACTTCAACAAGGTGGCGATGCATCGGTAGCGATCTCACCGACGGCTTTGCCGTCGAATACGCTGCCGATGAATACGTCGACGATGGCTTGGCCTCAGGCTGCTCCTGTCAAAGCTGCATTTGCTCCTCCGATGCACAACGCATTGACTAGCCCTTGCAGTTCGCAGGTGAGAATATTCAGTAGTTGTAACTATTCTTTCAACCTTTGTTAAATTTTTATTTTCCCTTTTTTCTAGATGTAACCATAACGTTACTTTTTAATAGCTTATCACACGAGAGCTTTTCCAATAGGTGTCATGTTATATTGCTGTCGTTTATCAGAGCTATAACCATATATGTTTTTGACGAACATGAAATTTTCTTTAATACGGCAGAATGAGTTGCGTTTTTACCAAAAGTAAGAAGATGAGCTTTTCCTCTCCTAAGTAGCAGAATCTGCAAAGTTCCTGTTTCAAAACATATAAGCTAAACTTTTTTCGTTCTTTTTAATCTCTTTTGGAACGTCATTCCTTTAATGCGTGATATTGTTGTTGATTTATCTTTGATTGAAAAACGGTGTGTACCTCCTAGCAGTTGAATTTTTAATTTGATATTCTATCTCTTTCTTTAAAACTGACTTTAATCTGTTTTACTTGTGAAGATTTTGTCTTCACTGAACCCAAGTCAAGAGATTTTTTAGTTGTTAGAGAAGAATAAATAAAGAGACTTTTTGCAGTCCGAGTAAAATGAATTTAGTGAAACTTAAAGAGTGGAAAATTACGATTTTGCTAGTAAAACCTTATCGTTTTTGTGAGTGTGTGATGTATGCCACAGTTGCTCATAAACTCTTTTTTTAAAATCAAACTCGTGAGCTTTTTTTTCAATGTTGATGTGTAGAATACGCTGTAAGTTTGCGTTAAACTCTATTTTGGCATGCTAACATTTTCTCTTATAGCCTCGAAGTCTATCGGTGTGCTCAGCTTCACCACAACTCGATTCATCACCTATGTCGCCGTTGCCAAGTATAATTCAATATCATAACCATCCTACACCATCTGCCATTAGGCCAGGACTGCAGGTAAATTCTCCGAGTTTTCCCATAATCTTCTTTTTGGATTTAAATGAAAACTCATGTTTTTCCATGTTTTTTTAAAATGCTAAACAATGTTAGAATTATGTAGGTGTTACTTTTTGTGTCAGCTGTCTGCTGTTCATAAACAAAGAAATATAAGGGGCTAATTTTTAGGCTTTCTTTTGCCTTGTATTAACTTGTTTTTTGCTTAGGCTGATCCCCGATCTGTTCGTGTATCCAGCACAGGCCAATGGACGGCTCCAGTAAGTGACTCATCGACAACTCCGGATTCCGGGATTCAGTCTGTTCCAGGATCACCACCTAGCAGTCATCCATTAACACCACCTACGGTCAGTTTCCTCTCAAATATTATTTGATTAATGATTTCCACAATTTGTCAAATTTTGTATGTTAGTCATGATTTGGCGGTTCAAATTATCAATGTCACGCTTTTTAGCTGAGACAGGCATTTTGTTTTATGTCGGGGTTATGTTCATAACTTGCGCTCGACTAAAAAAAATCTCGATCATTTTTCACTTTTTTTTGCTCTTTTGACTTTTTTGAATGCCCCTCACCTCTGAAAAGCAGTCAGTTGCATTCTTTTCAACAATGCTTCCCTAAATGCAGTGTTATGTACAATGTTGAAATGCAAAAAACGGTGTGACGTGAAATTTTTTAATGCTCTTCGTGTCAGTGTAAGTCGATTGTAATTTTATTTCTTTGATACAGGGGTTTAATGTATTCTCGCATAAGTTGACATCTTTGGCCTTTTTCGATTTCTATGTTTGAAAAGAAGGAATGACGGCAAAGCATTTCTTTATAATATGCCTTGCTCGTTTTTTTGTAGACGGCATAATTTATTTTTGTTTCTTAGTGTATGAGTATTTTATCGAAGTATTCTTTGTGAGCTGTTTAGCACTACAAATCGTATGGATTTTGCTTAGTGACTGTTTCATTTTTACTAATTTGCGCGTTCAGATGCAGTTAGAGGGATGTGACTCAGTTTGTGAAGAACGATATGAAAACGATGAAGATTTCGCGGATATGCCTCGGCTTTTGCCTGCCGACCAAGAAGAGGAACCACAATGTAGTAACAGGTGAGCAGGAAGTCTGTTTTCGTAACTTCGTTATAGTTTTTTGATCTATGTGCTGCATCTATGACATGATATACGTTGGTTGGGATGATTGAAGTAGGAAGCCGTGTTTTGGCACTAATCCTCGGCATACCATATCTTATTCAAGTCATGCATCACCAATGTATTTTATTATGTTTTGTGCTTGCCGCTAGCAATAATTGTTCAAAAATTTTATGAGTTTGGTATCCAGTATCTGGTTTGTTACTCTAATTACTAACTACATTTAGTCACATGCTTTCTAAATTAGTCACTTCAATCTTTTATAAGGCTAAGATAGCTGCAAATGAATTTTTATAGTTGT